TACGTATCCACTGAGACATGAATAGATTTTAATTTCCCTGCCTGTGGCAGGTATATTACATCCATTTGCCGGAGATGGTTGGCCCTGAGGCCCTGGATTTACCCCCTCATTGGGAGAATTATGATAAGGGGCTCAATCAGGGCACTGAGAGCTAATGTGCATAGCCATGGATAAGGGGCACCCAGCGTGAAATTTAATGTAGCGGGCATTTAGATGATACTGCTCATGGAGCTGGTAGCCCAGTTGCTCCTGAGTAAATAAGACCCTAGGGTGGGTCAAGGATTCAGCAAATTGATTGTCCTGGGCAAGAGGTCTTGGAAGGTTAGTATGTACATAAACAAGCCACACAGAAGCAGGGTAGATGTGCTGCCAAATATGTTGTTGGAGCTGAACTAATAAGGAACGAAACTGAGAGGTTGGAAGAACATATGGAGAAGTTTCTAAAGGTCTCACAATGTTGGCAATATAGACACTATCAATATATAAATCAAAGGGCTCCCCCTCAAACATTTTGAAGGCCTTCAAGCAGGCAAACAACTCTGCGGCTTGTGATGACATCTGCCCTATGGGTACACTCTTATGCACCTGAGAAGAAACCACCACCAAGAAAGCCTTGCAAGAGCCTTCTGTAAAGACTGAGTGAACTCCAAACAGAGGGTTCTCCTTTAAAATCTTGGGGAAAATCACAGGGTGTTGTTTAAAAAAAAGACATCAAGTGGCTACTGGGATAATGGTTATCAAACTTGGCGCCTGTAGATGTAATAAACAGGGTCCACCCATCATGGAAGATCTGTAGATCTTCAGCCTCCTCTTTATCATAAGGAAGGTAATTTTATCAGGACTCTTTCCAAAGGTTTGGATGCTAAACTTGTGTGCCTTCCACAACAATTGCAAAATCAGATCATAGGAGGGGGCCACTAACTTCTTAGTGGAGGCTAACGCATGTATCCAATAAGTAGGACCAGTCTGCCAAAACACAGCAGTGGATGAAAAGCTAGAGGGAAGTACAACCAGAACAAGAGGCTGCCCATAATCTATGCGCCGAAGGTGGGCTTGATCTACACATTTGAACAACAATTGTAGGGCATCCCTGGCCTCTGGGGTAATTTGTCTAGGGGAAGTTGGAGCAGGATCCCCAAGAAGAATATGATAAAGGGCTTTAAGAGCTGTTGTTTTAATAGAAAGAGAAGAGCGAATCCTCTACACCTCTCTCAAAAACCTCTGCCAATCATGAAGCCTTTTTAAATTTGAACAATCAGTTTGGAGACTTTGTGGCTGGAGGCTGGTTTGTTGAATTTCATGACCCAAATAAGTATAAGGGGGTCTCCTTTGGATCTTTTCTGGAGCCAAAATAAATCCACAGGCCTCCAGGAGCTCCTATAGCTCTGCAAAGACTATGTAACTTTGTCTTTCTTTGGCCACGGCCAAAAGAATATCATCCAAATAGTGGATAATGTAAAGATCAGGGAACTTTCTTCTGAGGGGATCTAAACAGGCAGCTACATAAATCTGGCATATAGGTGGACTTTTAGCCATCCCTTGAGGGAGCACCACCCATTGGAAGCAAAGGGCAGGCTCCCTAAAATTAATCACAGGAAGGCTAAACACAAACCCAGGACTATCTTGAGAATGCAGGATAATGGCAAAGAAGCAATCCTTCAAATCAATGACAATCATATGCCAGTCTCTAGGAATGGCCACAGGCAAGGGCAAGCCAGGCTGGAGTGCCCCCATAGACTGCATGGTTGCATTCATGGCCCTCAGGTCTTCTAGTAACCTCCATTTCCCTGAAGATTTTTTAATTATAAATATCGGGGTATTCCAGGGGGACATGGAGGAGACCAAATGACATGCCTCCAATTGTTCTTGAACTAGCTGGTGAGCCCCCCAAAGTTTCTTCACTGGTAAGGGCCACTGTTTCACCTATGTTGGATCATCCAATAGGGATGTGATGGGCATGGGGGCTGGCAGCACAACATTGAACCTCATCAAAAATGGCCAAAACCCTTCCTGTCCCCTGGAGCCCTGGTATCCAAAGGGAAGGATGCCACCGGGCAAACCTCTCCCTGTTCCAGGTTACCTAGTCCCCTCTCCAGAATCCAGCCCATCCCTAGCATTATATGGGGGGCCCTGCTTTTGGACTTGGGTGGCTGGGTGGTGAGGATCACTCCCATTACTTGCAGAAGGTCCCATCCCCAGAGGTTATTAGGGAGTCCAGATAAAATATATGGTTGAAAAAGCCTTGTGTAGCCCTTAGAGTCTTGCCACTTTAGAATACTGAGGCATTTTTGTGGTACAGCCTGTCCTATTCCCTGGAGAGTTGCTGTCCCTTCCTGATTAGGTCAGGCAGGGGGCCAGAATTTGTCTGAGAAGACAGAATTTTTCTGGAGGTGCTGCAGCCCTATGCCATCCAACCAGTACTCAGCATACCATAGATGGGGTGGATGGAGGGTGGGCCAGCACATAACCCTGGTTCTTTGTCTGGGCAGTTGCAGGGTTTGTCAGCTGGCCAGCTCTTACCTGTCTTGATCACCAGGGTAAGCTTTCCTGCACTGCTCTAGATAGTTTACCTCTTGCAGGGATGAGCAAGGGGCAGGGCCAGTTCTCTGGCTTTTACATCCTAAGGGGTATTTCTCCCACACCTAGACCTTCAGGGTCAGCTCCACTATGTTGCCCAGACAGGGTATAGAGACCACTCTCCCTGGTGCTGCAGATACATTGAGGCAGAGAACCCTCTCCCACTCTTATGATCTCAGGGCCTTAGGCCTTGATGGGGCCAGATGGGGAAAACTCTCTCCTGCCAATGCTGTCACATGACTGATAATGGAAACCACTCTCCCATCTGCATCTGACATCAAACCTTTCCTCCATCATAGGCTTTGAGCCTATGGTTGGCTTCCACCCACCTGATATTGATGTCATTGGCAGGACCATGGATGTCTTCCCCCCAGCCTTACACTTGAGGACCCAATCTGAGGTGTTGGTAGCCTGTATCCAGCTGAGTCAAATGGCATCATGATGGGTTGTGGATGTTCACACCTGCCAAGGACTTGATGACAAAGTTGGCCCGGGTGTGGCTTCAATCTTCCATAGCAGAATGGCATTAAATGGTTGGTAAATATCTTCCCACCAGCCTGGGACCTGAGCATCCAGACTGTCTTCTGGGTTTGTGACACATGAGTGAGCCAAAAGGCATCTAGTTTTTTACTGAACATCTTTCCCGAAGAACAGGACTTAAGGAACCAGACCGGCCTATGAACACTAGGACCCACCTGAGCCAAATGGCATTGAATTGACCCAAATGGCATCAGGCTGGGCCATGGATATCTTCCCTCTTGCTTATGGCTTGAATACCCAGGTTTGTCTGTGGAAGGGTAAGGATCCTCACTACAGATATAAACAAACATAAAAAACTATGAAAAGCATAATGTATATTTTATCTGCTCAAACACAAAAAAACTGCCTTTAGCTTCCAGGACAGCCTCCAAAGCCACAGAGAAACCTGCCTTGAAAAATGAAAAAGAAATCATCTTGGCTAACTTGTGCTCAATACACGGTTTATACTTATACTGATACACATATGTATGTTTCCTTTAAAAGTTTATATATTTGCAGAATGAGGGTGACAAGACACCAATGTAAACAAATGGCCCATATGATCCAGCCACTCAAAATGCCTCTGTTGCAGTTTCCTCAGAGTTCTGCATCCATAACAGGTTCAAGGCTCCATATCGTGAAGAAAACTGGCAGCAGATGGAGACTCAGAATGCCAAGTGAGCCTCAGGCAGGAACAACCTGGCTGCAGTGTCTCCTGTGTATTTCTGTGGAAGAATTGACCTGAAAAGGGTTCAGACCCTCACTGCATGGATACCATTTGTATTCTATATGCTGTGAATAAGGTGTGTTGTGGGACTCCAGCTTCATAGATAAAATAATAAATATTTGAGAAGAGCAAGAAAATTCCTCATAGTCACTGGAGGCTCCTAGCCTGTGACTGACTACTCCCTTGAGCACTGATGGAACAATAAATTCTGTGAACCTCCACACTTTTCTAAAAGGTGTTAGGAATCAGGGTCTTGTGTAGAAATGCCATCTGCTGGTAATCACATCACTACCCAGGGATGGATATGTCCAAAGTGTGATAAACAAGTGTCCTTCACAGTTAGTATGGTGTATTAAGTTAGCAGGGCAACAGAATGACATGTGAGAAAAGGGGCATTTGGTTTATTAAATAATACCAATGAAAATACAGAAGAAGAAAAAATATTTTAATGCTACTTGATACAATAAAATAGCTAACTTGGGCACTCTCTTAGCAAATAAAGAGAGAGCTAACAACCAAACAGTGAACAAGGTTTCAGGACCGTCAGAATTCTAGGCAGGGATTCGGCTTCAGTCATCTTCATGGGGTGCCAAGCACCTCCTGTCTGTGTATCCTGGGATGCAATCTTCTGTGTTTCTCCAAAATCATCTTCAAAGGAGATCAGAGCTACACTGCTGCATTCAGTTTAACAAATCTGAACAAACAATCCACAGAGCAGCCATACGATGGTAAGTAGGGGAAAGGCAATGCCATAAATCACTTCAGTTCAATTTGACGATGACAATCCTTGGGCCATAATGCCCTTAATTGTACTCATGTGGTCTCAAGACACATTGTTACCTAAAGCTGAAATCAATGACTGAGGACACCAGGGAAGAATATCCACGTTCCTAGTGTAACCACCTGTTTGAAACTGTCACATATTGGAAAGTCAGTGGTGATACCCTTTTTAGAGAGGCAAAGTCAGAGATGCAAAATTGCCTTTCTGATTGGACAAGGCAACATCTCTATGCTCCCATTATACTTCCAGTCAAGGTAGTCTATGGTTTGCATCCTCTGAATGCTCTTGCTTCCAATGCATCACACAGAGCCTGAAGCCATGTGTTCTGGGATGAAACGATTTGAATCCAACTCATAGACTTTCATTTCTCAGTATCCAGAAGAAATCATCTCCTATTTATTGCCAGCACTGACAAAATCTGGCCTCGGTGTCATAAAAACAGCGCGTGCAGCATTCAAGGCAGACATCTGTAGCAAAAAGTATTGTCTTGGGCTGCCTTTTGGCACAAAGTATATCCAGCAGCTCAGGACATAACTGGGCAAATTTCTCCACCAGGACAGACCCCGGGGGATCATAGCACTCTAGTGGGGCGGGGTAGAACTCTGCAGTCATGTTGCTTAGATTGGCCACACTCTGCAAAAGCTTCTTCAGTACAGCAGTGGAAAATTTGTTATCACAGAAATTCACAGTGGTGAGATGTGAGCACAGGCTTAGGGCAGGCAAGAGGGCACTGAGATGAGAGTCCTCCATCCAGCATCCCACCAACTCCAGGGTCTGCAAAGTGTCTGCTGTATTCTCAAGGAGAACTCGGAGATGTGGGACACCCAAACTGGACAAAACTACATAACTGAAGTTCAGGTGTCTTAGTTGACAGAGCCCCTGACACTGTGACAACTGTTTCACGTCTGACTGGGAGAGATGGCAGAGAGTGATGATCAATGTTTCCAATGGGCTCTTCAGGCATCTAGGGAAAGAAAAGGACATTAATGTATGGTTTTAGAGGGAACTAAAAACTTTGACACTGAGACACAGCAGACGACATATACAAAGTCAGTCTAGCCTTATGCTGAAGGTCAGCTCTTGGAATACAACCTTCTAGTTCTTGCTCATATAATTGACTTCTGAGGCAATATACATAAGCTGGGATCAACTCAGACCACATATCTCCAGCTCCCCTTTACTTTCTGTCAAATAGAGCTAGAATTTGCCACAGCAGGCCTGGAGCTCATACTCAGAGGACTACCATAAAAAGATTCTGGCAGTATCTTCGCATGTATCCTGCATAGATCTCCACTGTCCCTGCTACCAGTCACAGCTTCTATGTTCCAACCTTGAAACTGAAAGTCTCTCACCCCAGCATCAACCACTTTCCATCCAATATGTCCCAACCTATGCACATATTGCCCTTCTCTCCAGAGGGACTTAGAAGCTGAGACAGACTGCACCAGAAGAACGAGTTGTCCCCTATTCACAGATCTGACTACAGAGTTCCTTAGGTTTCTATGCAGGTGTGGGTACTCCCAAGCTCAGGACTTTCTACGCTGCCCTGTTTCCTTCCCATTAGCATAGCCAGGATCACAAGAAGGAATGTCCAGAGCACACTCAGTGTATCTGACACATCCAATGTATCTGCTTTCAATTCAGCTCTCTAAACACCTGCTAGCCCAGCTCTGACTACTGGTCATTGAACCAAGTGACATCAGTTAAGAAGGATACATGTCCACACTTGGATACTGTGATGAGTCCATCACTATTAAATCCACAATGACTGTGACACCCCCATGGTACACTAATGCTTTAAAGGGAAAATGGTTGCTGAAACAGTAGAAACAGCTCTCCATCATTTCTTACCCAAACAACAGTTGCATGTGGTCTGGGTGAACGTATATGCCGTCAATGGAAAGATGCTTGAGTGATTTGAGTTTGCAGAACTGAGAGAGAAATTGGACAGGACACATCTCTATGTCTGCCAAAGTATTTACGACTGTGTGATTCAAGGCCATGTGATTTACATTCAATGTGTGAAGTCTTGTCATACATCCAAGATGAGGTGCAATGCGACCCAGGAAGGGCTGCACCTGGTTTGTGTATAGCTCCAATTCCTCGATATTTTCTGGTGGGAAAATGTCCAAGACCTCCTTGATAATCTCGATCGGAGAGTCACAAATCTTCATCTTCACACAGCACAGCTGCACGCAGTCTTTCCTCTGCTGGGCCCAATGCAACAAGCATGCTTGGTGTTCTTTCAGGTGGGAACTGAGACTAAGTTCAGTGACCACCTTCAAATCCTGCCTCAGTTCATTGCATACTTGTTCATTACTTTCAGTCTCTGTTGAGCAGTTCCAGTCTCTGCCAGCCCATACATCCCAGAAATCCTGGTTCATATTCCTCAAGTCAAGTATTCCAAGCCTCCAACTTCTGTGAGGGAAAAGGTACAATTTTATAATGTAAACAGGATCCACCTCAGACACAGCCTCTTTCCAGCTTCTTTCTTAGCTCCACATACCCCTTACCTGTCAGGCAATTCTCTGTGACTTTGAGGCCAGTCCGGTGTATAAGATCTAGATCTAGCACAGCCTCCAAAGCCACAGAGAATCACTTTCTCAAAAAACTAACAAAAAACAAAAACAAAAAAGAAAAAGACACCCCCCCAAAAAATACCCACAAAACGTAAAGTGGATGTAGGAGAGCCAGGGATAGCTCATGCCACTGTTGTTTCATCTACTCTGAGCTCTCATTCACTTCTGTCATTGCATGAACTCACAACATGAGTAGAAGCTCCACAGACCTACAAGTGGATGGTACCAGAAGTGTCTGTCCACTTTGACCTCATTCTCGCTGTACTTTTACATATATCATACTTATAGCTCAGCAACTCCCCTTTTGTCTACTTCTGTCTGGCTTACCTTGGATGAACCTCCTGTGTCTGCAGAATGTCTACACCATCCAGAACAGCTTGTAACAACTCCACATCTGGTGTCTTCATCAGGGCCCCCACAGGAAGGTAGGAAAATGGCCAGGCAGCCACCATTGCCTTCAATAGCTCCATGTGTCTACCAATGAAGGCCTCCTTGAAAACTGGTGGGAAGAGATTAATGGGCAGGTACTCCAGAGCAGAGATGGTTGAGGCTTCGTTCCGCAGCAGGCTCTGCACTGCCAGCTCTTCGAGTGTGATTGGGTTGTAGATGCTCATTCTCATAGATCTTCAGTTAGAAGGAACCTAGCGAAACGTTAGGGAGACAACATTTTCTAATTCTGTTTTGGGAATAACAATTTCTCATAATTTGAAAGAAGCAGAGGGTCAGAGTCCTAGGTCTGGCAATAATGGAGAACTCCATGTGCCTTATTATCTACCGACTTTTGGTGTCAAAGCCAAACTTCCTTCAATTTCAGCAGGTGGAGTTTCTTTCTTTCTTTCTTTCTTTTTGGTTTTTCGAGACAGGGTTTCTCTGTATTGTTTTGGAAGCTGTCCGGGAACTTGCTGTGTATACCAGGGTGGCTTCAAACATACAGAGATCCTCCTGCAACTGCCTCATAAGTTGTGAGATTAAAGGCCCGTGCCACCAAAACTGGGCCTTCTGGAGTCTCTTCAAGCCCCCATGCAGACACAAATCAATCATTATCCCAACAGGGATTTATCCCTTCTCTATTTGGAAGTACTCAGGAGCATAATTACTGACCAGACCCTTGTGTCAGAAAAAGACTCTGACCTTCTTTCCAAGTGCTTAAGAAAATACATTGCTGACATCACACACCCAATCCACCCTTATTGTGCTTTCAACAAACTGATACCTCTTAGGAAGGGGTGAGGAGAATTACTGAAATGTCTGTTAGTACATGGCTCATTATCTACCATCTCTTGGTGTCAAAGCCAAACTTCCATCAATCTCGGCATGTGGAGTGCCTTTTTTTGGTTTTTCGAGACAGGGTTTCTCTGTATTGTTTTGGAGGCTGTCCTGGAACTTGCTGTGTATACCAACACCCAACCTTATGGAGTCTCTTAAAGTCTCCAAGCAGACACAAGTCAATCATTATCCCAACATGTACCTACCCCTGTTCTTTTTGGAAGTTTTCAGGAGCATACTGATGGCCTGAAGCTTGTTACAAGAAGTGACCCTGACCATCTTTCCTGTTGCTTAAGAAAAGCTCTAGAACACAAAGAAGCAAACTCCCCCAGGAGGAGTTGATGCCAGGAAATAATCAAATTGAGGCCTGAAATCAATCAAGTAGAAACTACGAAAACAATACAAAGAGTCAATGCAACGAAGTGTTGGTTCTTTGAGAAAATCAACAAGAGAGACAAACCTTTGTCCAAACTTGCCAAACAGCAGAGAGTGAACATGCAAATTAACAAAATCAGAAATGAAAAGTGGGACATTACAACGGACTCTGAGGAAATCCAGAGAATCATCATGTCATACTTTGAAACCCTGTACTCCACAAAATTCAAAAGTTAAAGGAAATGGATGACTTCCTGGATAGCTATCACTTGCCAAAACTAAATCAAGAAGAGATAAGCAATTTAAATAGACCTATAATCCTATGGAAATAGAAGCATTCATCAAAAATCTTCCAACCAAAAAAAGTCCAGGCCCAGATGGCCTCAGTGCAGAATTCTACCAGAAATTCAAAGAACAGCTTATACCAATTCTTCTCAAAGTATTCCACACAATAGAAGCAGAAGGGTCTTTGCCAAACTCTTTCTATGAGGCTTCGATAACCTTGATCCCCAAGCCACACAAAGACACAACTAAGAAAGACAACTTCAGACCAATATCCCTCATGAACATTGATGCACAAATTCTCAATAAAACACAGTCAAATCGGATCCAAGAACACATCAAAATAATCATTCACCACGATCAAGTGGGTTTCTTCCCAGGGATGCATGGATGGTTCCACATACAAAAATCCATCAACGTAATCCACCATATAAACAAGCTGAATAACAAAACTCATATGATCATCTCACTAGAGGCTGAAAAAGCCTTTGACAAAATCCAACACCCCTTCATGATAAAGGTCTAGAAGAGATGTGGGATAACAGGGACATACTTAAACATTTTAAAAGCTATATACAGTAAACCAACAGCCAACATCAAACTAAATGGACAGAAACTCAACGCAATTCCTCTAAAATCAGGAACAAAACAAGGCTGTCCACTCTCTCCATACCTTTTCAACATGGTACTTGAAGTTTTAGCCATTGCCATACAACAACAAAGGGGGATCAAGGGGATACAAATTGGGAAGGAAGAGGTCAAACATTCACTGTTTGCTGATGATATGATAGTTTACATCAATGACCCAAAGAACTCTATCAGGGAACTCTTACAGCTGATTAACACATTCAGCAAAGTGGCAGGCTACAAGATCAACTCAATAAAATCAGTAGCCCTACTATATACAGATGAAAAAGAAATGAGAGAAACATCACAGTTTACAATTGCCACAAACAACATAAAATACTTTGTGGTAATGCTAACAAAATAAGTGAAAGACCTGTATCCCAAGAACTTATAATCTTTAAAAAAGAAATTAAAGAAGCCCTCAGAAAATGGCAAGATCCCCCATGCTCTTGGATAGGTAGGATCAATGTAGTAAAAAAAAGCAATCCTGCCATAAAGCAATCTACAGATTCAATGCAATCCTCATTAAAATCCCAGCACAATTCTTCACAGACCTTGAAAGAGCAATAATCATTTTTGTATGGACAAACAAAAGACCCAGGATAGCCAAAACAATGCTGTTCAACAAGGCAATATCCGGAGGCATCACCATCCCTGATCTCAAGCTCTATTATAGAGCTATAGCACTGAAAACAGCTTGGTATTGGCACAAAAATAGACAGGTAGACCAATGGAATTGAATTGAAAACCCGGACATTAACCCACACACTTATGATCATCTGATCTTTGACAAAGATGCTAAAAATATACAAGGGAATTAAGAAAGCATCTTCAAGAAATGGTGCTGGCATAACTGGAGGCTGGCATGTAGAAGAATGCAGATCATTCCATGTTTATTGCCATGCACAAAACATAAGTACAAATGGATCAAAGATTTCAACATAAATCCTGCCACAATGAACCTCTTAGAAGAGAAAGTGTGTGGTACCCTTGAACAAATTGATACAGGAGACAGCTTCCTGAACATAACACCAGTAGCACAGACAGTGAGATCAACAATCAATAAATGGGACCTCCTGAAACTGAGAAGCTTCTGTAAGGCAATGGACACTGTCAGCAAGACAAAAAGGCAGCCCACACAATGGGAAAAATATTCACTAATCCCACATCTGACAGAGGGTTGTTCTCCAAAATTTACAAAGAACTCAAGAAGCAAGTCTCCAAAACACCAAAGGATCCAATTAAAATGTGGGCTGCGGAACTAAATAGAGAATTTTCAATAGAGGAGTCTAAAATGGCTGATAGGCACTTGAGAAATTGCTCAACATCCTTAGCCATCTGGGAAATGCAAATCAAAACACCTCTGAGATACCATGTCACTCCTGTCAGAATGGCTAAAATCAAAAACACCAATGACAATTTATGCTGGAGAGGATGTGGTGAAAGGGGAACATTCCTCCATTGCAGGTGGGAGGACCAACTTGTTCAGCCACTTTGGAAATCAATATGGAAATTCCTCAGAAAAATGGGAATAAACCTACCACAAGACCCAGCAACTCCTCTCTTAGGCATATATCCAAAAGATGCCCATTCATACAACAAGGATGTCTGTTCCACTATGTTCAAAGCAGCATTATTAGTAATAGCCAGACTTGGAAGCAACCTATATGTCCCTCAACCAAAGAGTGGATAGAGAAAATGTGGTACATTTACACAATGGAGTACTATTCAGCAGAAAAAAACAATGGAATTCTGAGATTCCCAGGCAAATGGATGACACTAGTAGAAACCATCCTGAGCGAGGTAACCCAGTCACAAAAAGAGAAACATGGCATGTAATCTCTCATATATGGATTTTAGACATAGATCTGGGGAGTGCCAGCCTACAATCCCATGGCCAGAGAGCCTGGGAAACATAGACTTCATTCAGTGGCTGATGGAAGAAGAGGCAGACTCCCTCAGTTAAGTACTGAGCTGAACTCAAGAAAGCCAGTAACTGAGAGGGAGGATTGATGACCAAAGGGATTAAGACTGGGCTGGTTTTACCCCCAGAAACAGCTGACCTGACAAAGGTTAACTCTTGAATCCCAGGCATCAGCCCGGGAATCCAGCATGGGACTGATCAAGACCCCCTGAATGTGGGTGTAAGTGAGGAGGCCTAGGTAATCTATTGAGCCTTGGGCAGTAGATCAGTACTCATCCCTGAGTATACACACGGACTTTGGACTCCCATCCAACAACGTGAATTTCCCTCTCACCCTGAACTCTTGGGGGAGGGTCTAGGCCCTGCCCTGTATGAAATGACAGACTATGGACAACCCCATGGAGGGTCTCACCCTCCCTATGAAATGAGGGCATAAAGGGGTGGGGGGTTGGGAGGAGGGCACGGGAGGAGGGGAGGGATAGGGAGAGGGACCTGGAACTGACTTGTGAAGCAACCTTGTTTCTTATCTAAATTTAAACTTAAAAATAAATTAAAAAAGAAAATACAT